TCACCTGTCCATATCTCACCTGTCCGTGTCCCACCTGTGCAGGTGGAGGTGCAGGACGGCCCGGATGAGAACGGGGAGATGTTCATGCGTCCCGGGAAGATCTCGGATCATTTCCCCAAGCCCTACCCCAACCCCGAGGCTGCGCGGGCGGCCAACAACGGGGCCCTGCCCCCGGACCTGAGTTACATTGTCAACGCCAGGTGAGGGTTTGGGGGCTCTGGGGGGCTCTGGGGGGCTCTGGGGTCACCCCACAATGCATTGACCCCACCGATCCCAGTGACCCCATTGATCCTGTCATTGATCTGTCATTGATCTGTCATTGATCTGTCATTGTCATTGATCTGTCATTGATCTGTTATTGATCCTGTCATTGATCTGTCATTGATCTGTCATTGTCATTGATCTGTCATTGATCTGTCATTGATTTGTCATTGATCTGTCATTGTCATTGATCTGTCATTGATCTGTTATTGATCCTGTCATTGATCTGTCATTGATCTGTCATTGTCATTGATCTGTCACTGATCTGTCATGGGTCCGTTATTGATCCCATTAATCCTTCAGGCAAGAGCATGAGGACTACATGTTCACCCTGCTGATGGGGCACTGTGACGCCGTTATTGATCAGTTATTGATCCATTATTGATCAGTTATTGATCCATTATTGATCTGTTATTAACCCTTTAGACACGGGGGCGAGGATTACGTGTTCGCCCTGCTGACAGGGCACTGTGACGCCGTTATTGATCAGTTATTGATCAGTTATTGATGCATTATTGATCCGTTATTGATCTCTCCAGGCACGGGGGCGAGGATTACGTGTTCGCCCTGCTCACGGGGTACTGTGACACCGTTATTGATCAGTTATTGATCAGTTATTGATGCATTATTGATCCGTTATTGATCTCTCCAGGCACGGGGGCGAGGATTACGTGTTCGCCCTGCTCACGGGGTACTGTGACACCGTTATTGATCAGTTATTGATCAGTTATTGATGCATTATTGATCCGTTATTGATCTCTCCAGGCACGGGGGCGAGGATTACGTGTTCGCCCTGCTCACGGGGTACTGTGACACCGTTATTGATCAGTTATTGATCAGTTATTGATGCATTATTGATCCGTTATTGATCTCTCCAGGCACGGGGGCGAGGATTACGTGTTCGCCCTGCTCACGGGGTACTGTGACGCCCCCGGGGGGGTCTCTCTGAGGGAGGGGCTCCATTACAACCCCTACTTCCCTGGCCAGGCCATCGGCATGGCCCCCCCCATCTACGACGAGGTGCTCGAGTACGAGGACGGTACGGGGGGCTTGAAGGGGGGGCATTTGGGGGGGCTTATGGGAGTCCTGGGGGGGCTGGGGGTGGGATTAAAGGGGTGCTGGGGGGGCTTATAGGGGTCTTGGGGGGCTTAAAGGGGCCTTAGGGGGGCTTAAATGGGACTGGGGGGTCTGTGGGGGGGAATTAAAGGGGTCCTGGGGGGCCTAAAGGGGTCCTGGGGGGCTTACAGGGGGCTGGGGGGGGGCTTAAACGGGCCTGGGGGGAATTAAAGGGGTCTTGGGGGGTCCTGGGGGGCCTTAAAGGGGTCTGAGGGGAGGCTGGGGGTCCTGGGAGGGGTCTGCAGGGGATTTGGGGGGGTCCTGCTGGGGTTGGGAAGGGATTGGAGGGGGCTGGGGGGGGCTGGGGGGGGGCTGGGGGTGCCCTGGGGGGGTTTGAGGAGGTCCTGGGGGGCTCTGACCACACCAGGTATTGGGGGGGGGTCTGGGGGTCCCAGTGGGTCAGTGGGGGTCCCAGTGGGATCTGTGGGGTTCAGGGGGTGTCTGGGGGTCCCGGGGGTCCCATTGGGGTCTCACTGCCCTGTCCCCCCCCAGGCACCCCGGCCACCATGTCCCAGATTGCCAAGGACGTTTGCACCTTCCTGCGCTGGGCGGCCGAGCCCGAGCACGACCACCGCAAAAAGATGGGGCTCAAGGTGGGGCTGGGGGCTCAATGGGGGGCTCAAGGTGGGGCTGGGGGCTCAATGGGGGGCTCAAGGTGGGGCTGGGGGCTTCACTGGGGCTGGGGGCTCAAGGTGGGGCTGGGGGCTTCATGGGGGGCTCAAGGTGGGGCTGGGGGCTTCACTGGGGGGCTGGGGCTCAACGGGGGGCTGGGGACTGCTGGGGGGCTGGGAGGGCTCAAGATGGGGCTGAGGACTCGGGGGGGCTGGCGGGGGCTCAGGCTGGGGCTGGGGGGCTCAGAGGGGGCCTGAAGGTGGGTCTGGGGGCTGGGGGGGGTCAGGGAGCCTCAAGGTGGGATAGAGGGGCTGGGGGTGGGGCTGGGGGCCTCAGGATGGGGCTGGGGATGGGGGGGCTTGGGGGCCCTCAGGGTGGGGCTGGGGTCTCATAGGGGGCTTGGGGGGTCTCAGGGCGGGGCTGGGGGCTCAGAGAAGCCTCAAGGTGCGGTTGGGGGGGCTCGGGGGGGTCTCAGGGTGAGGTTTGGGCCTGGGGATGCCTCAGGGGGGCTTTGGGGGCTCAAGGTGGGGCTGGGAATGGGGGGTCTGGGGGTCTTCAGGGGTGCCTCAGGGTGGCTTGGTGGGGCTCGGGGGGGTCTCAGGGTGGGTCTGGGGGTTTCGGGGGTCCCGGTGTTGCTGAGCCCCCCTGACCCCGTGCCCCCCCCCAGCTGCTGCTGATCTCGGGGCTGCTGACGCCGCTGCTGTTGTACATGAAGCGCCACAAGTGGGCCGTGCTCAAGAGCAGGAAGCTGCTGTACCGGCCCCCCAAGTAGGGCCCGGCCCCGGGGGACCCCCGAGCCCCCCACGGCACCGGGGGAGCCCCCCGGGAGGGGCTTTGGGGGGTCCCCACATCCCCCCCTCCCCCAACCTCGTGTTCGACCCCGGCCTCGGCCCCCGCGGGGCTGCGGGGGGAATAAAGGCTGGGATTACACAGAGAAACATTGTCTGTCTGTCTGTCTGTCTGTGTGTCTGTCTGTCTGGGCTGCGGGGGGAATAAAGGCTGGGATTACACAGAGAAACATTGTCTGTCTGTCTGTCTGTGTGTCTGTGTGTCTGTCCTGGGCTGCGGGGGGAATAAAGGCTGGGATTACACAGAGAAACATTGTCTGTCTGTCTGTCTGTCTGTCTGTGTGTCTGTCCTGGGCTGCGGGGGGAATAAAGGCTGGGATTACACAGAGTGGAGATGTGAGTGTCTGTCTGTCTGTCTGTCTGGGCTGCGGGGGGAATAAAGGCTGGGATTACACAGAGTGGAAATGTGAGTGTGTGTCTGTCCTTCCTGTGGGGTCTGTCTGTCTGTCTGGGTGGCGGGGGGGAATGAAGGCTGGGATTACACAGGAAAACACGAGTGGGGTCTGTCTGTCTGTCTGTCTGGGCTGCGGGGGGAATAAAGGCTGGGATTACACAGAGTGGAAATGTGAGTGTGTGTCTGTCCTTCCTGTGGGGTCTGTCTGTCTGTCTGGGCTGCAGGGGGGAATAAAGGCTGGGGTTCCACAGAACAGAAACACGAGTGGGGTCAGTCTGTCCTTCCTGTGGGTCTGGGTCTGTCCTGGCTGTGGGGCCAGGAGTGTGGCTGGGAGCAGGGCCAGGTGTGGGGCTGGGTCAATCCTGGGTCTGCCTGGCTGTGGGGTGGCCGTGGGGCCAGGTGTGGGGCTCTGTCCTGGTTGTGGGGCTGGGCCTGTCCAGGATGTGGGGCCGGGTCTGTCCTGGGGCTGTCCTCGGTGTGGGGCTGGGTCTGTCCGGGATGTGGGTCAAGCCATACCCAGGCCGTGCCCAGGCCAGGCCGGTGCCGCGGGTCCGGCTTTGCCCGGGTCAGGCTGTGCTGGTGCTGTGGGTCAGGCCGTGGGTCAGGCCATGGGTCAGGCTCTGGGTACAGCTGTGCCCAGGCCAGGCCATGCTGGTGCCATGGGTCAGTCTGTGGGTCAGGCCATGCCCAGGCCATGCCGGTGCTGTGGGTCACGCTATGCCCAGGCTGTGGGTCAGGCCGTGGGTCAGACTTTTCCCCAGGCTGTGCCCAGCCCAGGCCGTGCCGGTGCCGTGGGTCAGTCTGTGGGTCAGTCTTTGCCCCAGGCCGTGGGTCAGTCTGTGGGTCAGGCCATGCCCAGCCCAGGCCGTGCCAGTGCCGTGGGTGAGGCCATGCCCAGGCCATGGGTCAGTCTGTGGGTCAGGCCATGCCCAGGCCGTGCCCAGCCCAGGCTGTGCCAGTGCCATGGGTCAGTCTGTGGGTCCAGCCGTGCCCAGCCCATGCCAGGCCGTGCCGGTGCCGTGGGTCAGTCTGTGGGTCAGTCTTTGCCCCAGGCCGTGGGTCAGTCTGTGGGTCCAGCCGTGCCCAGGCCGTGCCGGTGCCGTGTCCCCCCCCCAGCCCCCGCTGGCTCTGGGGTCTCGTTCAGCACCAGCTGCCCTTGACCCATCCCGGGAGTGACCCCTGACCCCTCACTGTCCCGGGAGTGACCTCTGACCCTGTCACTGTCCCGGGGAGTGACCTCTGACCCTGTCACTGTCCCCATCCTGGGAGTGACCTCTGTCCACTCATTGTCTCCATCCCTGTCCCCATGCTGGGGTGTCCCTGTCCCAATCCCTGAGGTGTCCCTGTCCCCACACCACTGGCCGTGCCAGCGTAACCCGTGTCCCTGTCCTCACACTGAGGCTGTCCCTGTGTCCCTGTCCCCACGCCAGGAGCGTCCCCACCACACCGGTGGCCGTGCCAGGGTGACCCCTGTGTCCTTGTCCCCTGTCCCTGTCCCCCCACCAGTGGCAGTGCCAGGGTGATTCCCATGTCCCTGTACCCCCGCGGGTGGCAGCGCCAGCCTGTGACACTCAGTGGCTTTATTGGGGTCCCGGGGCCCCCCGGCCCCTCCACGCCCCGAGGCCGTCCCAGTGTCCATCCTGGCTCTGTCCATGTGTCCATCTCTCCGTGTGTCCATCCTGGCTCTGTCCATGTGTCCATCTCTCCGTGTGTCCATCCTGTCCGTGTGTCCATCCTGTCCGTGTGTCCATCCTGGCTCCGTCCGTGTGTCCATCTGTCCGTCTGTCCCTGTGTCCTCTCTCTCCATCCCTGCTGGACGTGGCCCCTCCTGGAGCCCTCAGGCGTCTCTGGCCCGGTGCCAGCTCTGTCCTTTGTCTGTCTGTCTGTCCCTCGGTGTCCCCGGGGGGGTCAGTGGCAGTTCTGGCACCGGGGGTGGCACCTCTGCCCGTTGACGTTGCAGCGACAGCCGCCACTGGTGTCACCGGGGCCCTGCGGGGACAGGGCAGGGACAGCTGGGGTCACCCTGGGGTCACTCTGGGGTCACCCTGGGGTCACTCTGTGTCCCCTCCTCACCCTGGGGTCACCCTGTGTCCCCTGGGGTCACCCTGGGGTCCCTCTCTGTCCCCCCCCTCACCCTGGTGTCCCCCATCACTCCGAGACCCCCCAGGACAGCCCTTGGTGACCCCTCCTCATCTCAGGACCCCCCCAAGGACCCCCCCGGACCCCCCTCACCCCCCCAGAGCCCCCCTCACCCCCGGCCCCCATCGGGGTCCCTTGGTGACCCAGCAGATCTCGGTCTGGCACACGGTGCAGCGGATCCAGTCGCAGCCGTCCTTCTTCTGCACCACGATGCGGCACGTGGGGCAGTGCATGGCCTCGCCGCGCTGCACCAGCGTCTGGGGAGGGGTCCGCGGGGGGTCAGGGCAGCGGGGACCCCCCCAATGCCCCCCGAAGCCCCCAGACCCACCTGCAGCACATCCCGGACCCCCCAGTGCCCCCCAAAGCCCCCAGACCCACCTACAGCATGTCCCGGACCCCCCAGTGCCCCCCAAAGCCCCCAGACCCACCTGCAGCATCTCCTGGAGCCCCCAAAGCCCCCCGGTGCCCCCAGACCCACCTGCAGCATGTCCTTGACACCCCAGTGCCCCCAGACCCACCTACAGCATGTCCTGGGCCCCCCAGTGCCCCCCAAAGCCCCCAGACCCACCTGCAGCACATCCCGGACCCCCCAGTGCCCCCCAAAGCCCCCAGACCCACCTGCAGCATCTCCTGGAGCCCCCAAAGCCCCCCGGTGCCCCCAGACCCACCTGCAGCACATCCCGGACCCCCTAATGCCCCCCGAAGCCCCCAGACCCACCTGCAGCATCTCCTGGAGCCCCCAGTGCCCCCTGAAGCCCCCAGACCCACCTGCAGCATGTCCATACCTCCCAATGCCCCCCGAAGCCCCCAGACCCACCTGCAGCACATCCCGGACCCCCCAGTGCCCCCCGAAGCCCCCAGACCCACCTGCAGCACATCCCGGACCCCCCAGTGCCCCCCGAAGCCCCCAGACCCACCTGCAGCACATCCCGGACCCCCCAATGCCCCCCGGTGCCCCCAGACCCACCTGCAGCATGTCCCGGACCCCCCAGTGCCCCCCGAAGCCCCCAGACCCACCTGCAGCACATCCCGGACCCCCCAGTGCCCCCCGAAGCCCCCAGACCCACCTGCAGCATGTCCCGGACCCCCCAGTGCCCCCCGAAGCCCCCAGACCCACCTGCAGCACATCCCGGGCCCCCCAGTGCCCCCCGAAGCCCCCAGACCCACCTGCAGCATGTCCCGCGTCTGGCGCGCGGCCGCGTCGTGCAGCGCCCGCAGCTGCAGCTCGTCCTGGTACTGGCGGCAGTTCTGCCCCTCGTGGATGGCCTGGGGGGGCCGGGGGTGAGCTCGGGACCCCCAGAACCCCCCGGAACCCCCCCAGGGACCCCCCCGGTCCGACCTTGCACAGGAGGCAGTTGAGGGCCCCGCACACCGGGCACGGGAACTCGTTCACCGCGTCCTCGTAGAAGCACCAGCCCGGGCAGTCCCGGCCCCGGCAGTGGAAACTGTTCCGGCTGCGGCGCTCGGCCAGCGCCAGCCCGCGGGCCAGGAACCGCGCGTGCTCCTCGGGGGACAGCAGCTGGGGACATTGGGGACATTGGGGACACTGGGGACAGCAGGGACATTGGGGGGGATGGCATTGGGATCATTGGGACCCCTGAGCCAGCGCCAGCCCGCGGGCCAGGAACCGCGCGTGCTCCTCGGGGGACAGCAGCTGGGGACATTGGGGACATCGGGGGGATGGCATTGGGACCCCCGAGTCACTGTCACCCACCCATGGGATCCCCTGAGTCACCATCATCCACCCTGAGCCAGGGCCAGCCCGCGGGCCAGGAACCGCGCGTGCTCCTCGGGGGACAGCAGCTGGGGACATTGGGGACATTGGAGACACTGGGGACATGGCATTGGGACCCCTGAGCCAGCGCCAGCCCGCGGGCCAGGAACCGCGCGTGCTCCTCGGGGGACAGCAGCTGGGGACATTGGGGACATTGGGGACATTGGGGACAGCAGGGACATTGGGGGGGATGGCATTGGCATCATTGGAACCCCTGAGCCAGGGCCAGCCCGCAGGCCAGGAACCGCGCGTGCTCCTCGGGGGACAGCAGCTGGGGACATTGGGGACATTGAAACCCCCAGAGTCACTGTCACCCACCCATGGGGACCCTCGTGTCACCAGTCCCTGCACCAGGGGTGGCATTGGGACCCCTGAGTCACTGTCACCCATCCAGGGCCAGCCCGCGGGCCAGGAACCGTGCATGCTCCTCGGGGGACAGTAACTGGGGACACAGGGACATCGGGGACATCGGGGACATTGGGGACATTGGGGACATGGCATTGGTACCCCTGAGCCAGCACCAGGCCCCACGCCAGGAACCGTGCGTGCTCCTCGGGGGACAGCAGCTGGGGACACGGGGACATCGGGGACATCGGAGACATTGGGGGGATGGCATTGGGACCCCAGAGTCACTGTCACCCACCCATGGGGACCTCCAGGTCACCAATCCCTGCACGTGCTCCTCGGGGGACAGCAGCCAGGACACGGGGACATCAGGGGAGGTGGCGTTGGGACCCCCAGAGTCACTGTCACCCACCCATGGGGACCCTCGTGTCACCAGTCCCTGCACCAGGGGTGGCACTGGGACCCCTGAGTCACTGTCACCCACCGTCACCCACCCATGGGGACCCCAACCCTACCCAAGGGGACAGCCCGGTCCCCTGGGAGCCCCCCGTGCGGGGGTGGCTGTGACCCCCCCAGACCCCTCTGTCACCCTGGTCACCCCCGGTGTCCCCTGTCCCCCCCGGTGTCCCCCCTGTCCCCCCGGTGCTCACGGCGCGGATCTCGCGCTCCTGCAGGTGGCTGCCACAGGCGTAGGTGACATCGCGGAAGGGACAGGCCACCACCGGCTCCTCGCTGAAGTTGATCACCTGCCGCAGGCACTCCCTGGGGACACCGGGGGGACAATGGGGGGGTCAGGGACCCAGGGATGGTCACTGGTATGGAGTCAGTGATGCTGGGGGTGTCCCAGGTGTGCCCAGGTGTATCCCAGCTGTGTCCTGGTCTGTCCCAGGTATATCCCAGTCTATCCCAGCTGTACCCAGGTGTATCCAGTTGTGCCCAGGTGTATCCCAGGTCTATTCCAGGTGCACCCGGGTCTATCCCAGGTCTATCCCAGGTGTGTCCAGGTGTATCCCCGTGTCTCCCAGGTGTGCCCAGGTGTGTCCTGGTATATCCCAAGTGTATGCAAGGTGTGCCAGGTGTATCCCAGTCTATCACAGGTATATCTGGGTGTATCCCAGCTGTATCCCAGGTGTGCCCAGGTATATCTTGGTGTATCCCAGTCAATCCCAGGTGGGCCCAGGTGTGCCAAGGTGTATCCCTGTGTTGCCCAGGTGTGCCCAGCTGTATCCCAGATGTATCCCAGGTGTGTCCAGGTGTGCCCAGGTGTATCCTGGCATATCCCCATGTACCCCAGTCTATCCCAGCTGTGCCCAGGTTTATCCCCGGTGTCCCCAGGTGTGCTCAGGTGTATCCCGGGTGTGCCCAGGTGTATCCCAGTCTATGCCAGCTGTATCCTAGGTGTATCCCATGTCTATCTCAGGTGTGCCCAGGTGTATCCCAGCTGTATCCCATTCTATCCCAGGTGTATCCAGGTGTATCCCAGTCTATGCCAGGTGTATCCCAGGTGTGCCCAGGTGTATCCCAGGTGCGCGGTACCGGCAGAAGCTGTGCAGGCAGTCCCGCAGCAGCACGGCCCGGCCCGCCGGGTCTATCCCAGTCTATCCCAGGTGTATCCCCGTGTGCCCAGGTGTATCCCCGTGTACCCAGGTGTGCCCCAGGTGTGCCCAGGTATATCCCAGGTGTGCCCAGGTGTATCCCAGGTGCGCGGTACCGGCAGAAGCTGTGCAGGCAGTCCCGCAGCAGCACGGCCCGGCCCGCCGGGTCTATCCCAGTCTATCCCAGGTGTATCCCCGTGTGCCCAGGTGTATCCCCGTGTACCCAGGTGTGCCCCAGGTGTGCCCAGGTGTATCCCAGTCTATCCCAGGTGTATCCCAGGTGTATCCCAGGTGTATCCCGGCCCCGATACCGGCAGAAGCTGTGCAGGCAGTCGCGCAGCAGCACGGCCCGGCCCGCCGGCACCTCCTGCAGGCAGATCCCGCACTCGAGCGGCTCCGGGTTCAGCACCAGCCCCGCCTCCTCCGCCTGCAGCAGCTGCGCCAGGTTCCGCTGCCGCTCCGCCTCCAGAGCCTGGGGACAAGAACCGGGAAAATGGGAAAAATGAGAAAAATGGAAAAAACGGGGAAAATCGGGGAAAAAATGGGGAAAAAATCCGCGAAAAATGGGGAAAAAGCCCGGGGAAAATGGGAAAATGGGAGCAGCAGCTGCGCCAGGTTCCGCTGCCGCTCCGCCTCCAGCGCCTGGGAATGGGGACAAAAACGGATAAAATGGGAAAAATTGAAAGACAATGGGAAAACCAGGAAAAAACCGGGAAAAATGGAGAAAAAAAAACCCGGGAAAAATGGGGGAAAAACTCAGGAAAAACAGGAAAATGGGAGCAGCAGCCACTGACCCCATAGCCCCCATACCTGCTGGCACTGCCAGGTCCCGTCGCGCTGATCCCATATCCCATTGATTGATCCCATAGATCCCATTGATTGATCCCATTGATTGATCCCATTGATCCCATTGATTGATCCCATTGATTGATCCCATAGATCCCATATCTGCTGGCACTGCAGGGTCCCGTCGCACTGATCCCATATCCCATTGATTGATCCCATTGATCCCATTGATTGATCCCATTGATTGAACCCATTGATCCCATTGATTGATCCCATTGATCCCATTGATTGATCCCATTGATTGATCCCATTGATCCCATTGATTGATCCCATTGATCCCATACCTGCTGGCACTGCCAGGTCCCGTCGCGCTGATCCCATATCCCATTGATTGATCCCATTGATCCCATTGATTGATCCCATTGATTGATCCCATAGATCCCATATCTGCTGGCACTGCCGGGTCCCGTCGCACTGATCCCATATCCCATTGATTGATCCCATTGATCCCATTGATTGATCCCATTGATTGATTGATCCCATTGATCCCATTGATTGATCCCATTGATCCCATACCTGCTGGCACTGCCGCGTCCCGTCACACTGATCCCATATCCCACTGATTGATCCCATGGATCCCGTTGATTGATCCCACAGTATCTGCTGGCACTGCCGCGTCCCGTCGTGCTGATCCCATATCCCATTCATTGATCCCATGGATCCCAGAGTACCTGCTGCCACTGCCGGGTCCCATCACGCTGATCTCATATCCCATTGATTGATCCCATAGATCCCATTGATTGATCCCATTGATCCCATAGATCCCATTGATTGATCCCATCGATCCCATATCCCATTGATTGATCCCATTGATCCCACAGTACCTGCTGGCACTGCCGGGTCCCGTCGCGCTCCCTCTGCAGCCGCCGCAGCTCGGCGGGGTCGGGGCGGTGCCCCCCGGGCACTCGGTACCCCTCGGGCCGGGGGGCGCTGCACATCTCACAGCCAGGGCGGGTGGGCTTGTTCAGGAACGTGCACTGGGGACACGGCCAGCCCTGGAACGGGATTGGGATTGAGAATTATTGGGACTGGGAACAGAGTACATCTCACAGCCAGGGCGGGTGGGCTTGTTCAGGAATGTGCACTGCGGGCACGGCCAGCCCTGGAACAGGATTATTGGGATTATTTGGATTATTTGGATTGGGAACAGGGCATATCTCACAGCCAGGGCGGGTGGGCTTGTTCAGGAACGTGCACTGGGGACACGGCCAGCCCTGGAACGGGATCGGGAATTATTGGGATTATTGGGATTGGGAACGGGGCACATCTCACAGCCTGGGCGGGTGGGCTTGTTCAGGAACATGCACTGGGGACATGGCCAGCCCTGCAATGGGATTATTGGGATTGGGAATTATTGGGATTGGGATTGGGATTGGGAACGGGGCACATCTCACAGCCAGGGCGGGTGGGGCTGGGCAGTGCTCGGGGGCTGTGTCCACACTGAAACACTGGGACTGGGATCAGGGATTGGGATCTGGATCAAGGAATGGGATCAGGGATTGGGATCAGGGATGGGGATCAGGGATCAGGGATCAGGATCAGGACAGGACCCTGTACCTGCTCAGGTGAGGGTGGGTGGGGCTCAGGGGCCGTGGGATTGGGATCAGGATCAGGGATGGGGATCAGGATCAGGATCAGGATCAGGACAGGACCCTGTACCTGCTCAGGTGAGGGTGGGTGGGGCTCAGGGGCCGTGGGATTGGGATCAGGATCAGGGATGGGGATCAGGATCAGGATCAGGATCAGGATCAGGGATCAGGATCAGGATCAGGGATTGGGATCAGGGATGGGGATCAGGATCAGGGATGGGGATCAGGGATGGGGATCAGGTACCCCTGTACCTGCTCAGGTGAGGGTGGGTGGGGCTCAGGGGCCGTGGGATTGGGATCAGGATCAGGATCAGGGATCAGGATCAGGATCAGGGATTGGAATCAGGATCAGGGATGGGGATCAGGGATGGGGATCAGGGATGGGGATCAGGATCAGGGATGGGGATCAGGATCAGGATCAGGGATTGGGATCAGGGATAGGGATCAGGATCAGGGATGGGGATCAGGGATGGGGATCAGGATCAGGGATGGGGATTAGGTACCCCTGTACCTGCTCAGGTGAGGGAGGGCAGGGCTCAGGGGCAGTGGGATGGGAATCAGGGATCAGGGCAGGCCCCCCCCGCCCCGTACCTGCTCAGGTGAGGGTGGGTGGGGCTCAGGGCCTGTGAGATTGGGATCAGGAATTGGGATTGGTATCAGGGATTTGGATCAGGATCAGGGATTGGGATTGGTATCAGGGATTTGGATCAGGATCAGGGATTGGGATCAGGTACCCCCAGACCTGCTCAGGTGAGGGAGGGCAGGGCTCAGGGCCTGTGGGACTGGGATCAGGGCAGGACCCCCCCTGCCCCGTACCTGCTCAGGTGAGGGTGGGCGGGGCTCAGGGCCCGTGGGCGGGGCCCCGGCGCTGTCCCAGAGCTGCAGCGAGTCCAGGTGATCCCGGATGTCCCCGATGTCCATCCGCTCCGGGGGCTCCTCGGGGACACGGCCTGGGGACAGACGGACACGGCACGGGCTGGCACTGACCCGGAACGGGACCGGGACCGGGACAGGGAATGGGAACGGGAATGGGACTGGGAATGGGACTGGGAACGGGACAGGGAACGGGAAAGGGAATGGGAAAGGGAATGGGAAAGGGAATGGGAATGGGAACGGGAATGAGAACGGGAGAGACAGGGAGAGGGAATGGGACTGGGAATGGGACTGGGAATAGGGAGGACTGGAGAGGGATGGGGGAGGGAATGGGAGGAAGGAGATGCAGGAGAAGAGAAGGAGAAAGAAGGAGAAGGAAAGAACAGGAGCTGGCGGAGGAGGAGGAGGATGATGATGAAGAAGGAACAGGATTATGAAAAACAAGCAGGAACAGTGTGAGGATGAGGAGGAAGAGCAGGATGAGGAAACAAGAGGAGCAAGAGTAGGATGAGGGTGAGAAGGAAGGAACAGGCTGGTGATGATGAAGAAGGCTCTGTCAGCCGTACCTGAGCCAGGTGAGGAAAGTGCAGGAGCAGCAGGATGAGAAACAAGCAGGAGCAGGAGTAGCAGGAATGAGGATGACAAAGAAGAAGCAAGAGCAAGAGCAGCATGAGGAGAAATAAGCAAGAGCAGGAAGATAAAGGAGCAGGATGAGGAAGGAGCAGGAGCAGCAGGATGAGAATGATGAGGAAGGAGCAGGCTGAGGATGATGAGGAAGGAGCAGGAGCAGAAGTAGCAGAAATGAGGATGATGAAGAAAGAGCAGCAGCAAGAGCAGGATGATGAAGGAGCAGGATAAGGAAGGAGCAAGATGAAGAAGGAGCAGGAGCAGCAGGCTGAGGATGGTGAGGAAGGAGCAGACTGAGAACGGTGAGGATGATGAGGAAGGAACAGGAGCAGCAGCAGCAGCCTGATGATGATGAGGAAGGGGCAGGCTGAGAATGATGATGAGAAAGGAGAAGGCTGACGATGCTGAAGAAGGAGCAGGATGAGGATGCTGAGGAAGCAGCAGGAGCAGCAGCAAGCTGAAGATGGTGAAGAAGGAGCAGGAGGATGAGGATGAAAGAGCAGGATGAGGATGAGGATGAGGATGAGCATAAGGATGACGATGAGGATGCAGAATAGGATGAAGGAGAAGGAGCAGCAGCAGGCTGAGGATGGTGAGGAAGGAGCAGGCTGAGGATGGTGAGGAAGGAGCAGGCTGAGAATGATGAGAATGATGAGGAAAGAACAGGAGCAGCAGCAGGCTGAGAATGGTGAGGAAGGAGTAGGCTGAGGATGATGATGAGCACGAAGACTGATGATGCTGAGGATGGAGCAGGAGTAGCAGCAAGCTGCAGATGGTGAAGAAGGAGCAGGATGAGGATGAGGATGAAGGAGCAAGAGCAGCAGCAGGCTGAGGATGGTGACGAAGGGGCAGGATGATGAGGAAGGAGCAGCAGCAGGAGGAGGCTGAGAATGATGCTGAGGAAGAAGCAGGCCGAGGCTGCTGCTGATGAAGGCTCCATCCCCGTACCTGCCCCAGGTGCTCCATCCCTGTGTCCATCCCCGTACCTGCCCCAGGTGCTCCATCCCCATACCTGCCCCAGGTGCGCCATCCCCGTCACCATCCCTGTGTCCATCCCCGTACCTGCCCCAGGTGCTCCGTCCCTGTCCCCATCCCCGTACCTGCCCCAGGTGCTCCATTCCCATCCCCATCCCTGTACCTGCCCCAGGTGCGCCATCCCCGTCACCATCCCCGTACCTGCCCCAGGTGCTCCATTCCCATCCCCATCCCCGTACCTGCCCCAGGTGCGCCATCCCCGTCACCATCCCCGTGTCCATCCCTGTACCTGCCCCAGGTGCTCCGTCCCCGTCCCCATCCCCGTACCTGCCCCAGGTGCTCCATTCCCATCCCCATCCCTGTACCTGCCCCAGGTGCTCCATTCCCATCCCCATCCCTGTACCTGCCCCAGGTGCTCCGTCCCCGTCCCCATCCCCGTGTCCATCCCCATACCTGCCCCAGGTGCGCCATCCCCGTCACCATCCCCGTGTCCATCCCTGTACCTGCCCCAGGTGCGCCATCCCCGTCCCCATCCCCGTACCTGCCCCAGGTGCTCCGTCCCCGTGTCCGTCCCCGTCCCCGTGCAGCCCCGCGGCGCGCAGCAGCTCCTGCGCCTGCAGCTCCCGCTGCCGCTCGGGGCCCGCCGGGGCCGGGGCCGCTCCCGGGGCCGCTCCCACTCCCGAGGCCGCTCCCGGTGCTGCTCCCGCTCCCGGTGCTGCTCCCGCTGCCGGTGCCGGTTCCAGCGCCGCTCGTGCCGAGAGGAGGAAGAGGAAGGCGGGGTCGCCGTCGCGGCGGATGCCGTAGGAGGCCAGGCTGCGCCCGTCCCGGCACAGGCTCTGCCCGATGATCCAGCGCTGCGCTGAAGGGGGAAAGCCGTACTCGCGGAACACCTGGGGGGAAAAGGGGGATCCTGTGGGATCTGGGGGATCCAGGGGATCAGGGGGATCCTATAGGATTGGAGGGATCAGGGGAACCCGTACTCGCGGAACACCTGCAGGGACAGGGGGGATCCTATGGGATCAGGGGGATCCTATAGGATTGGGGGGATCAGGGGAACCCGTACTCGCGGAACACCTGGGGGGAAAAGGGGGATCCTATGGGATCAGGGGGATCCTATGGGATCAGGGAACCCGTACACCCAGAACACCTAGGGGGACATGATCCTATGGGATTGGGGGCACAGGGGGAACCTGTACTCGCGGAACACCTGGGGATCAGGGGGGAACCTATGGGATCAGGGAGGATCAAGGGGGAACCCGTACTCATGGAACATCTGGGGGATCAGGGATCACAAGGGATTGGCAGGGATCTCATGTGAGATCCTGAGGGAACCTGGAGAAATCCTGGGAGATCCCAGGGAGATCCTGGGGAAGCCCTGGGCAGATACTGGGGGAGATCCTGGGGAGAGCCTGGGGAAAATCCCAGGGGACGTCCTGAGGAGATCCCAGGTGAGCCCCCAGGCAAAAACCTCAGGGGAGATCCCAGGGGAACTCCAGGTGAGCCTCAGGTGGGCCCTGGGTAAGATCCACGGGAGATCTCAGATGGGATCCCAGGTAAAACCCCAGGTGAGACCCCAGGTGAACCCTGGGTCAGATCCCAGGTGAGATCCCAGGTGGGATCCCAGGAAAAACCCCAGGTGAGACCCCAGGTGAGATCCTGGGAGAGATCCCAGGTGGGATCCCAGGTGAGCTCTGGGTCAGATCCCAGGGGAGATCCCAGGTGGGATCCCAGGTAAAACCCCAGGTGAGATTCCAGGTAAAATCCCAGGTGACTCCCAGGGATCCTGGTCCCACAGAGCAGGGGCTGGCCCGGCTCCCAGGTGACCCCATTCCCTCCAGGTGACCCCAGCTGACCCCAGGTGTCCCCAGGTGTCCCCAGGTGTCCGTACCTGCTCCTTGAGGGTGCCGATGGTGACGTGGGGCTGCACCCGCAGGGTGATGCTGGCCGAGGACGTGGCGTCCTCCACCCCCACCGCCATGCTGGGAAACAGGGGGAAAGATAACGGGACATATGGGATATAGGGGATAGATGGGATAGATGGGATACATTGGATAGACGGGATGGATGGGATAGGGATTGGGGTTTGGGATTTCGGTTTGGGATTGGGATATGGGGTGTGGGATATGGGATTGGGGTTTGGGGTGTGGGCACGGCATGCTGGGAACCAGGGGGAGAGACAGTGGGATATAAAGGATACGAGGAATATGTGGGATATATGGGGTATACGGGATATATGGGGTATACAGGATATATGGGATATATGATATATATGGGATATATGAGATAGATGGGATATATGGGATAGATGGGATAGATGGGAGGTATGGCATATGTGGGATATAGGGGATAAAGGATATTTAGGATATATGGGATTGGGGTTTGGGATGTAAGATATGGGGCGTGGGGTAAGGCATGCTGGGAACCAGGGGGAGAGACAGTGGGATAGATGGGATAGATGGGATAGATGGGATAGATGGGATTTGGGGTGTGGGTACAGCATGCTAGGAATGGGGGCGAGATAATGGGATATATGGGATATATGGGGTATACGGGATAAATGGGGTATACCGGATATATGGAATATATGGGATATATGAGGTATATGGGATAGATGGAATATGTGGGATATATGGGGTATACGGGATATATGGAGCGTACGGGATACATGGGATATATGGAATATATGGGATATATGAGATATATGGGATAGATGAGGTATATGGGATAGATGGGAGGTATGGCATCTTTGGGGTATAGGGGATAGAGAATATTTGGGATATATGGGATTGGGGTTTGGGATGCAGGATATGGGGCGTGGGGTACGGCATGCTGGGAACCAGGGGGAGAGACAGTGGGATAGATGGGATAGATGGGATTTGGGGTGTGGGTACAGCATGCTGGGAACGGGGGAGAGATAATGGGATAGATGGGATAGATGGGATACATGGGGTACACGGGACATATGGGGTACACGGGACATATGGGGTATATGGGATAGATAGGATATATAGGAAGTATGGCATATATAGGAATAGGGGATATATGGGATATATGGGATTGGGGTTTGGGGTTTGTGGTGTCGGTATGGCATGCTAGGAACCAGGGGGAGAGACAGTGGGATATATGGGATATATGGGATAGATGGGATATTTGGGATAGATGGGATATACGGGATATATGAGATTGGGGTTTAGGGTGTGGGGTTTGGGGTACAGCATGTTGGGAACGGGGAGAGACATAGTGGGATATATGGGACACATGGGATTTGGGGTGTGGGGATTGGGGTTTGGGGTGTGGGTACAGCATGCTGGAAATGGGGGAGAGACATAATGGGATTGGGATTGGGGTTGGGATTGGGGGCTGGGATGTAGGATATGGGGTGTGGGGTTTGGGGTGTGGGGTACAGCATGCTGGGAATGGGGAGAGATTATGGGATGTGAGGTTTGGGATTGGGGATTGGGGTTGGGGTACGGCATGCTGGGAATGGGCAGAGATAATGGGATTGGGATTGGGGGTTGGGATTGGGGTTTGGGGATTGGGATTGGGGTTTGGCATGCCAGGAACAAGGGAGGTAACGGGATGATGTTGATGAGGAAGGCAGGGGCAGAGAATGAGGATGAAGATGATAACAGGGGTGATGATGACGAGGATGAGAAAGGCAGTGGGTGGGGATGAGGATGATGATGCTGCTGGGGAAGGCAGAGGATGGGAATGACGAGGAAGGCAGGGGCAGAGAATGGGGACGAGGATGAGGATGATGAGAGTGATGATGGGGAGGAAGACAGAGGATAGGGATGAGAGTGACAATGATGAAGATGATGAGGATGAGAAAGGCAGAGGAAGAAGACAGGGATGAAGATGACAATGATGAGGATGATGATGATGCTGAGAAAGGCAGAGTATGGGGATGAGGGCGATGAGGATGATGAGGATGAGGAAAGCAGGGGCAGAGGACAGGGATGAGGATGATGAAGATGATGCTGATGAGGAAGGCAGAGCATGGGGATGAGCATGATGAGGGTGACGAGGATGAGGAAGGCAGAGAACGGGGATGAGGATGACAATGACGATAACAATGATGCTGCTGAGGAAGGCAGAGCACGGGGATGAGGATGATGAGAATGAGAAAGGCAGAGGATGAGGATGATGACGATAAGGAAGGCAGAGAACGGGGATAAGGATGTTGAAGATCATGAGGATGAGCAAGGCAGAGGCAGAGGATGGGGATGAGGATGACAATGATTAAGATGATGATGAGGATGAGAAAGGCAGAGAACGGAGATGAGGGTGACGAGGATGAGGAAGGCAGGGGCAGAGGACAGGGATGAGGATGACAATGATGAGGATGATGATGATGATGAGGAAGGCAGAGGATGAGGACGGTGAGAAAGGCAGAGCACGGGGATGAGGGTGATGAGAAAGGCAGAGAACGGGGATAAGGATGACAATGACAAGGATGATGATGATGAGGAAGGCAGAGGACGGGGATGAGGATGACAATGATGAAGGCAGGCTGCCCACCTGACGTGGCCCCCGGGGTCCCTGTGGCGCAGGCTCACGCTCAGCTCCGCGTGCCGCCGGGCCAGCGCCACCGCGCTCTGCGCCGCCACCGCCTCGTCACCAAATGCCACCGCCTCGGCCAGCCGCAGGGCCAGCTCCTCTGGGGACATGGGGACACGGGGATGGCACCCAGAGCAAGCATGGGGACACACAGGGACACGGGGATGGCACCCAGAGCAAGCATGGGGACACACAGGGGCACACAGGGACACGGGGATGGCACCCAGAGCGGGCATGGGGACACACAGGGGACATGGGGATGGCACCCAGAGACAGCCACCGCGCTCTGCGCCGCCACCGCCTCGTCACCAAATGCCACCGCCTCGGCCAGCCGCAGGGCCAGCTCCTCTGGGGACATGGGGACACGGGGATGGCACCCAGAGCGGGCATGGGGACACACAGGGACATGGGGATGGCACCCAGAGCAAGCATGGGGACACACAGGGACACACAGGGACACGGGGATGGCACCCAGAGCAAGCATGGGGACACACAGGGGACACTGGGGGTGACACCCATAACCCCTCAGAGTGGGAATGGGGACACCAGGGGGACACTGCTGGGTGGCACCCCCAGCCCCAGGGACACCATGGGGACACCATGGGGACACCGTGGGGACAGGAGGTGACCCCAGGGGAGGTTCTGGGGGGATTTCAGGGAATGTCCCCATGGGAAGGGCTGTCCCACCCTATCCCTGCACAGGTGGCACTTGGGGACAGGCTCAGGTGGCCCTGATGTGTCCCACCCCCCAGGCCAGGCCAGGGTGTCCCCAGCATGTCCCTGACGTGTCCCATCCAGTCCCCGTGTCACCTGTCTGTGCCAGCTCCAGGATCTGTGCCTCCTCCACGTCCTGCTCGGGCCCCTCGGCGGGTGGCACCAGAGATGTCCCCGTGGGTGGTGGCACCAGGGATGTCCCCGTGGCTGGCACCAGGGATGTCCCCGTGTCACCCTCGGCAGCTATGGGAGCACAGGGGGGATGGGGCTGTCACTGCTGTCACTGCTGTTCCTGCTGTCACTACTGTCCCCGATGTCCCCATTGTCCCCAGTGTCCCCCCAGTGTCCTCAATGTCCCCCCAGTGTCCCCAAGGTCCCATCTCCCTGTGCCTCCCTGATGGAGCTGCACAGCACTGTGTCCCAAATGTCCCCCACTGTCCCCAATATCCCCATGTCCCCCCACTGTCCCCAATATCCCCATGTCCCCCCAGTGTCCCCAATGACCCCAGTGTCCCCAATGTCCCCAGTGTCCCCAGTCCCCCCAGTGTCCCCAGTCCCCCCAGTGTCCCCAATGTCCCCATGTCCCCTCAGTGTCCCCAATGCCCCCATGTCCCCTCAGTGTCCTCAATGTCCCCTCAGTGTCCTCAATGTCCCCACAGTGTCCCCACTGTCTCCAGTGTCCCCAATGTCCCCAGTGTCCCCATATCCCTGTCCCACCTCTGCGTGCCTCCCTGAGGGAGCTGCTCAGCACCGTGTCCCCAATGTCCCCCCAATGTCCCCAATGTCCCCTCAATGTCCCCAATGTCCCCAGTGTCCCCATATCCCTGTCCCACCTCTGCGTGCCTCCCTGAGGGAGCTGCTCAGCACCGTCCACCACTGCTGGGCCTCGCGCTCCTCGGGGAACCGCAGCGCCACCGCCTCCTGTGCCGCTGTCCCCGATGTCCCCGCTGTCCCCAGTGTCCCTGCTGGTGTCCCTGCTGTCCCCAATGGTGTCCCTGGCGCTGGCAGCTGCAGCTCGTGGCTGGCGGGGCCGCACACGCGGTAGGACACGTCCCGCAGGTCACACTCTGCCAGGGGCTGGGGACAACAGGGACACGGGGGACAGGGATGGGGACAGGGACAGGAGGGCACAGGGATGGGACAGGGATGGAGATGGGGACAGGGATGGGGACAGGAAGGGACAGGGACACAGGGGATAGGGAGAGAGATGGGGACAGAGATGGGGACAGGAAGGGACAGGGATGGGACAAGGACAAGGATGGGACAGGGATGGGGGAGAGGAACAGGGACAGTGGGGACAGGGGGGACAGGGACACAGGGGTCAGGGAGAGAGATGGGGACAGGAGGGGACAGGGATGGGGATGGGACAAGAATGGGACAGGGATAGGGACAGTGATGGGACAGAGACAGTGACAAGGACATGGACAGGGATGGGGACAGGGATGAGGATAGGACAGGGATGGGACAGGGATGAGGATGGGACAGGGACAGAGACAGGAGGGGACAGAGATGGGACAGGTCTGGGGTCACCATGAGGTCACCACAGGCTCGGGACCCACTGGGACAGCCTGGTCACCCCTGGGGTCCCCTGGTCACCCCTTTGAGTGCCCTGGTCACCCTTGGGGCACTTTGGGTGCCCTCAGATCACCCTCAGGGTACCCCTGGCCACTTTGGAAGCGTTCTGCTCACTTTTGGGGTGCCCTGAGCCCCTCACTGTCCCTGTCCCTGTCACTAATCCCTGGCTGGGGGTGACACGGGACAATCCCGGGAGTTCCCATCCTTCCCAAACCTCCCGGGACTCCCCAAACCCCGGGACCTCCCAGGGACCCCCCCGGGCCCCTCAGGGGAGGCAATCCCGGGGGACAATCCCAGGGGGGAAAATCTCGGGTCACTCCTATGGGGACAATCCCGGGGGACAATCTCGGTTCCCCCCGGTTCCCTCCGGTCTCTCGGGCCTCACCCCCGTACCCCCCCCATTTCCCCGCCCCCTCCCCTCCCCCCGACCCCCGGGGCGCCCCCCGGGCCCCTCCCCCGCCCCCTCCCCTTCCCCTCACCGCGCCGCCCCCCGCCTCCGCCCGCCGCAGCGCCAGGCGGAAGCGGCGCCGCCCTTCGGCTCCCGGTGTGACGCTGAGCTGCAGGCGGAGCGCGGCGCCGGCGGCGGCGGCGGGCAGCAGGCGGCAGGGCGCGGCCAGCTCGGCCCGGGCCGCCATCAGCACCGTGCCAAAGGCGGCGGCGGCCGGGCCGGGCCCGGGCGCTCCGGGCGCCGCCATGGCGGCCCCGCCACTTCCGGCCTCCCGCCCGCGCGGTCCTGCCGCCAATGGGGTCCCCTCCGGGGGAGCGGGCGGGAAACGCGGCAGAGCACGCGGGGGTTCCGGGGGAGGAGCGTTCCGCCCTGGCCACGCCCCGTGGCCGCGCCCTCCCGGCCCCGCCCCGCTGTGATTGACAGGCGCTCCCCCCGTCTTTGTCCGCGCCAGCCAATGGGAACGCCGAGCGCCCCCGCGGTGGGCGGGGCCGCGGGCTCTGCGCGGATTGGCGTTGGTGTCAGCCAATAAAAGGCCGGCGGGGCGGTGATTGATGGGTGTTTTCGCCAATGGGATCGCGGGCCGCGGGCGCCTCTCGGGCGGGGCGGGCGCGGGCGGGGCGGTGCCGCCGCTGTTGCCGTCCGGTGCCGCAGGAGAAGGTCGCCCGCTCGCTCGCTCGCTCCGGGGGACTCCCAGGATCTCGCTCAGCCGCTCGCACCGTCCCGAGCACTCGGGGACATGTCGAGGTGGGCGGAGGCCCGGTGGGCCGGCGCCAGACGGCGGACGGCGGCCGCGGCACACTCGCCCTCCTCGAGCTTTCCCCGGAGACGCCTCCCTTTACACGCACCCCGAGCCTGAAGGCGCTGCCACGGCGAAGAGGCACCGATAAGGAGCAGGACGCGCCGGTAAGCCCGCTCGGCCCGCCGCCCCTTCCTCTGCGCGCCCACAAGCTGCGCGGACTACAGCTCCCGCCGTGCCCCGCGCCGCCCAGGCGTGGCGTAGCACGGCGCGCAGCCGCGGGGCAGGATGGGAGCAGTAGTCCAGCGATGGCGAGGCTGGGGCCGATCGCGCGGGGAATGCCGGGAGCCGTAGTCCGCCAATAGATCGGGGCTATGCGCTGCGCGGTGCATGCCGGGAGCTGTAGTCCGTATGTGTCGCGGCTGTGTTTCGCGCGGGGCATGTCGGGAGTTGTAGTCCAGCGCGCGGGGCATGCCGGGACTCCACTTCCTGTGGCGCCGCCCGGGACCGGGGCAGATTTTTCCGCGCCCTTTTCCCGCTTTTTTTTCTCCTTTTTTTCTCCTTTTCCTCCTTTTTTTCCTCCTCTTGTCCTTCCTCCTCCCCCTCTTCCTCTACCCCTCCGCCTGTCACCGTCTCTCCCTTTGCGGTGCCGCTGCCAGCTCCGCTTGAAGCGCCTCTTCCTCCTTCTCCGCTTCCTCTTCCTGCTTCTTTCGTTTCCCCTTTCTTTTGTTTTTTCATTTTTCCCTTTCCCGTTTCCATTTCTGCATTTTCCTTCTTTTCCCCTTTCCCGTTTCTTCAGTTTTTCCCTCTTTCCCCTTTCCTTTTCCCATTTCCACTCCCATTTTTGCATTTTCCCTTTCCCATTTCTCCATTTTCCCTTTTCCTTTCCTATTTATGAATTTTTCCGTTTCCTTGTTTGCTTTTCCCATTCCCATTTCTGCATTTTTGCCTTTCTCATTCCCATTCTCATTTCTGCATTTTCTCTCTTTTACTTTTCCCATCCCTGTATTTTCTTTTTCTCTTTCCCATTCCCATTCCTGCATTTTTCCTCTTTCCCTCTTTTCCCATTCCTGCATTTTCCCCTCCCTCTCCCTCCCCAGTTCCCCCCGTTGTTCCCATTCCCAGAAATTCACGTTCCCCATTCCCTCCCCTCATCTCTCCCCGGGGCTCAGCTGCTGCACCGGGGGAGCTGCCCCGGGAATTTTCCCGGGAATCTCGGGGATTTCCCGGGAATTTCCCCGCCCGCCGGGGGAGGATGAAGCTGCTGGAGAACTCGAGCTTCGAGGCCATCAACTCCCAGCTCACTGTGGAGACCGGAGACGCCCACATCATCGGCAGGTACGGGGGGTGGGATACCACCGGGAATCTGGGAATGCTGGGCCATGAAACCTGGGAATGCTGTCCTTGGGAATCTGGGAATGCTGGCCCCTGAAACCCGGGAATCTGGGAATGCTGCCCTGCAATCCGGGAATGCTGCCCTGGAAGAGCTCTGGGAATTCTGTCCATGAGAATCTGGGAATTCTGTCTTGGGAAACTGGGAATGCTGGCCTTGAGAATTTGGGAATGCTGGCCCTGGAAAGGCTCCAGGAATCTGGGAATGCTGCCCCCCTGAAACCTGAGAATCTGGGAATTTTGTCCTTGAGAATCTGGGAATTCTGTCTCGGGAACACTGGGAGTGCTGTCCCTAGAAAAGCTCTGGGAATCTGGGAACTCTGTCCCCGGGAATCTGTGAATCCTGCCCCTGGAAACCTGGGAATGCTGCTCGGGGAACACTGGGAATGCTGCCCCTGGGAGTCTGGGAATTCTGTCCTTGAGAATCTGGGAATTCTGTCCCGGGAATCTGGGAATTCTGTCCTTGAGAATCTGGGAATTCTATCCTGGGAACACTGGGAATGCTGTCCCTAGAAAAGTTCTGGGAATCTGGGAATTCTGTCCTTGAGAATCTGGGAATTCTGTCCCGGGAATCTGGGAATTCTGTCCTTGAGAATCTGGGAATGCTGTCTCTGGGAATCTGGAAATTCTGTCCTGGGAAACTGGGAATGCTGCCCTGAGGAATCTGGGAATGCTGCTCTGAGGACCATTCCCGAGAACGCTGGGAATCTGGGAATTCTGTCCCTGAAAAAGCCCTGGGAATCTGGGAATTCTGTCCTCATGAAACCTGGGAACACCAGGAATGCTGCCCTGGGAATCTGGGAATTCTGTCCCCAGGAATCTGGGAACGCTGGCCCTGGAATCTGGGAATTCTGTCCCTGAAAAAGCTCTGGGAATCTGGGAACGCTGCCCTGGAAAGACTCCGGGAATTTGGGAATTCTGTCCCTGGGAATCTGTGAATGCTATCCCTGGGATCTGGGAATTTTGTCCCCAGGAATCTAGGAATTCTGCCCCATGAAACCTGGGAATTCTGTCCCCATGAAACCCGGTAGCAGCGGGAATGCAGCCCCAGGAATCTGGAAATTCTGGCCCTGGAAAGGCTCCAGGAATCTGGGAATGCTGTCCCCCTGAAACCCAGGAATCTGGGAATGCTGCCCTGGGAATCTGGGAATTCTGTCCTTGAGAATCTGGAAATATTGCTCCTTTGAAACCCAGGAATCTGGGAATGCTGCCCTGGGAATCTGGGAATTCTGTCCTTGAGAATCTGGAAATATTGCTCCTTTGAAACCCAGGAATCTGGGAATGCTGTCCCTGGAAAAGCTCTGGGAATTCTGTCCCTGGGAATGCTGCCCTGTGAACACCAGGAATGCTGTCCCAGGAAAAGCTCCAGGAATCTGGGTGTGCTGCCCTGTGAATCTGGGAATTCTGTCCTGGGAAAAGCTCTGGGAATTCTGCTCCTTTGAAACCTGGGAATCTGAGAATGCTGACCCAGGAATCTGGGAATTCTGCCCTGGGAATCTGGGAATTCTGCCCTGGGAAAAGCTCTGGGAACCTCATAATGCTGCCCCAGGAAACCTGGGAGCGCTGTTCCTTTGAACCCAGGAATCTGGGAATGCTGGGAGAGCTCCTGCTATTCCAGGGATCCTGGGGCAGCCCCAGATTCTCTGGGAATCCCATCCCAAAATGCCAGTTTTCCATGGGAAGCCGTTCCCTGTTTCCCATCCTTCCAGCCTTTACCCCAAACCCCTCTGCAGCCCTCCCAGAAAAACCCTGGAAAAGGCCCTGGGATCTCATGGATCCCCCTGGGAGGGTCTGTGGGATCTCTGGGATCCCGTGAGCAGGTTTTTGGGATCCCCTGAGTGGGTTTTTGGGATCTCTGTCCCCTGGGAGGGTCTGTGGGATCTCTGGGATCCCGTGAGCGGGTTTTTGGGATCCCCTGAGTGGGTTTTTGGGATCTCTGTCCCCTGGGAGGGTCTGTGGGATCTCTGGGATCCCGTGAGCGGGTTTTTGGGATCCCCTGAGTGGGTTTTTGGGATCTCTGTCCCCTGGGAGGGTCTGTGGGATCTCTGGGATCCCGTGAGCGGGTTTTTGGGATCCCCTGAGTGGGTTTTTGGGATCTCTGTCCCCTGGGAGGGTCTGTGGGATCTCTGGGATCCCGTGAGCGGGTTTTTGGGATCCCCTGAGTGGGTTTTTGGGATCTCTGTCCCCTGGGAGGGTCTGTGGGATCTCTGGGGTCTCTGGATGGGTTTTTTTGGGATCTCTGGGATCCTACAGAATTGAGAGCTACTCATGCAAGCTGGTGGGGATCGACATGGATCCCCCTGGGAGGGTTTTTGGGATGTCCTGGGAGGGTTCCTGGGATCTCTGGGAGGGTTTGTGGATTTCTGGGTGGGTTTTTGGGATCACCTCAGCACTGGATCGCCCGGCAGGATTGAGAGCTACTTGTGCAAGCTGGTGGGCATCGACAGGGTTCCCCCTGGGAGAAACCTGGAACCTCCCTGGGAGGGTTCCTGGGGTCTCTGGAAGGGTTTTTGGGATCAGTCCAGCCCTGGATCCCAGAGGATCGAGAGCTATTTCATCCAAGCTGGCTGGGGTCAACAGGGTTTGGTTTCTGGGCTCCCCTAGGCGGGTTCCTGGGATCCCTGGGAGGGTTTTTGGGATTTTTGGGATCTCTGGGATCTCTGGGAGGGTTTTTAGGATCTCTGTGATCCCCTGGCAGGATTGAGAGCTCCTCGTGCAAGCTGGCTGGCATTGACAGAGATCCCCTGGGAGGGTTCCTGAGATCCTCTGGGAGGGTTTCTGGGATCTCTGATGGGTTTTTGGGTTCTCTGATGGGTTTCTGGGATCTCTGATGGGTTTTTGGGTTCTCTGATGGGTTTCTGGGATCTCTGATGGGTTTTTGGGACCCCCCAGGATCGAGAGCTACTCGTGCAAGCTGGCTGGCATCGACAAGCAGCTCTTCAAGCAGTTCTGCCAGGAGGGGCAGCCCCACGCGCTGGAGGCGCTGAGCCCCCCCCAGAGCTCCGGCCTGAGCCCCGGCAGGTGCGAACTGGGGGCACTGGAAACACTGGGGGTGCTGGGAACACTGGGACCTGGGAAACTGGGAACACTGGGAATGCTAGGATTGGGGAAACTGGGAA